CGTGACGGGATAATGTGTGCGTAGGTAATGAGTAATTGAACTGCGGTTAACGTTCGTTCCTTATAGTGTTTGTTTAAGCGCGAATATTGAAATTAAGTGTATCGTAAAGTTATATTCGGAAAGAATAAACCAGTTTTATTAAGTAAAGACTTGTGTCGTTAAAGTTTCGTCGGAACGAAGTTACGGAAAAATCAATTAACAAACGGAGACGCAACAATACTTTCAGTGTTGATTTTTGAATATAATGCTCTTGAATTTTGTTTTATCAACGTACGACTGGTATGTTGGATAATGTTCAAAAATGGAAAACAGTCATTTTCAGATACTAAATAATTTTCTTTTAAAGTGTTAGTTTGTTTGTAGTTAAGCGCAAAGCTACAAAAAAAAAGGCTATCTGTGCTCTGCCCATCACGGTTATCGAAACCCTGTTTCTAGGGTTAAAGTACACAGATATACGGTTGTACCACTGGGAGGCATGAAGTGCTAGATATGAAACTCACCAAAATAAGAATGTAAACAGTTAATTTTTGGAGAAGTTCAGTCGAAAAAGATTAACAATAAATGTGTATGGTATAGTTTTGTTTATTCTCATTTAGAACTATTTATTGTTTTGTTCTTTAAATTAATATATATATTTATTTGTTTGTTCATTTATGTCTGATTCCTAATTAAAGTTTTTGATTATAAAATTCATTATTAAGAGTGTAGTTACATTATTCAAATGTAAACTGTTATGTGAAAAGTTAAATAAGTGAAAAGAAACATTGGGACCAGGGCTTGTACCTAGGACCTCTGGCTTACAAGCCATTACCTTTTCTGAAATTGAAAATTCATTCGCAAATTACTAAACAAATATCGTCATCCAATCCAGGAAATGTATATATTTTTAATGAATAATTTATTCGCAGAATTTTTTAGCGTAATTTAACATATTAACACAAAGAATGTAAAAAGGGCACATAGAGGTGCAACTGCCGCTCAGTCTAACTAGTGATTTCTATACAGTTTGTTTGTTTGTTTTGAATTTCGCGCAAAGCTACAAGAGGGCTATCTGCGCTAGCCGTCCCTAATTTAGCAGTGTAAGACTAGAGGGAAGGTAGCTAGTCATCACCACCCACCGCCAACTCTTGGGCTATTCTTTTACCAACGAAAAGTTGGATTGACCGTCACATTATAACGCTCCCACGGCTGAAAAGGCGAGCATGTTTGGTGTGACGGGGATTCGAACCCGCGACCCTCCGATTGCGAGTCGAGCGCCCTAACCATGCCGGGCCCATTTTTATACGGATGTTCAGCTTATTCAGTTTTTGTACCTTTCAGAGTTTACTTGAGGGGATAACTGACAACACAAACTAAAACGTGTAGAAATCAAATTATGTGAGCTTGCACATACAACAAAGCCTGTATAATAACTAAATAGACTATATAAACAAAACTTATAAAACTAATGTAAAGCAAAATGTGACAAAAAAAGCGTAGTGAACGAACCTTACATGTCGCCTTTATTTATAAATTACAGAAAAATGTAATGGATTAGGTATAATTATTTTTAATATATTCAAAGAACAATCATAGTAAAAAGAAAATAACATAAAATGTGAGTTTTAGTACACATTTAGTGCCCTGCCCGGGTTGGCCCACAGATTTTTTTTTATATTACAGAAACCATAATTGACTGAAAACTAATTACTATAAATATTTCTATGGACCAATTCAAGTAATTAATTGACATATGTGGGTTTATTATGGATTAATTTTCAGGTCCAGAATGGTATAGAGGTTTTTTGTATATTACAGAAAACATCATAATTCTTTCTTTATACTACCAGGAGATGATTATAGTAAAAAATTGGTATATAGATTATGTATGGTTCATTTAGGATTATAGGACTGATTATTGAAGACCAGTTTCTAGATCAAAGCATCATTACTGAATTATTTTCATTAGACTTGTCTATTCATTGTGGGAACACCTGGAAGAAGATCCTTAACTATAAAGAAGCCACGTTCAATTGTAAGCTATTTGCAGAGTTGTTACACTTTACCATATTGATCTCCATCTGATGATTTGGCTGAATAGATGGTGCAGAATCTAAAGCATATTTCACTAAGTTTGTAAACCGTGACCAAGAAACTAAAATGAGTATCTGCCATATCATAATGACATTCCTCATAACTGAGAAACAATTCATTTATTTCCTCAGTATTGCCTGATGTTTAACAGGGAGTATAATTTTCAGTGGATCTGATGTATGATCCTTTGTTTAGTGCTGATGCATCACATTGTCTATAGAAATATGTGGAATAACTGCATTTTGTAATAATTGATGCACACGAGTTTGTGCATCAATAGATGGGTAAGTTATCAAAAGAAATGTTATGGCAAAACAGTGATGAAATATATCTTCAGTACTGGTCTCTAGGTTTGAATATGACATGTGCGTGTATCATGTAAGCAAGATGGTTTGGGCTGGTCAGCATCCCATATGTTGGCAGATTATTTACGAAGATGAATTATGAGTTGGTAGTCACGTAATGTGGATAAGAGAATTAAGTATGTTAATAAGATTTAACTTCATATCAATGATAAGCCTCGCAAGAACTGGTTATTACTCCAGGAATTACAGGTGAAGTTGACTCTGATGACGACAGCACTGTGTTGTGTGATGTCGGCTTAGCTGATCATGAGGAAGCTGATAGCAGTACACACCTGGCAGTCTTTAAGAAGTCATATGAAGAAGCACCAGTAGAAGAGAATGTATCTGCTGTAATAATTGGCTCAAATGTTGATGTCAATCTCTTGATAATTATGGCTGGGAATAACTGCTTGACCAATAGTTTGATTGGTCAAATAATTAAAAAAGCATTAACAGAATAGAACAGGTGTTGCTTACTTTATAGTCTACCAAGTGGTGATTTACAATATATTTAAGAATCATCTAATTACAGGGAATTTATTGGTTGGGTAAATCAAATTAT